AGAACTCCCACTGAAAGAGAAGTAACAGGTGTATTCATACCACCAGTTCAAAACAATAAAAGGGAAGAAGCTAAAATGACTGGGAATCCTCCTGAAAAGAAAAGTAAAAAGAAAAGAGTATCTTTTTCGCAGAAACCTCAAATTGAAAGAGAAACAATGCTGTACTCAATTGTTTTTGACTTAATGCATCTAAAGACAAATATAACTGTGGCGCAACTATTAAATCTACCTCAATATAAAAAAGAGTTAAAGAAAGCCTTAACTTCTAAAAGACGATCAGTCAAGAAAGGAAAGGACAAAGGAAAAGATAAAGACATGATTATAGGAGTAGCATCTTCTTATACCCCTATGATGTGCAAAAGTCAAGTGTCCTCTTGGACTATAGACATAATTATTGATAGTGGATCTTCTATCAGTATAATTTCAAAGGCTTTTGTTGATCATATTAACCGACAACCTGATAGAATCTCTACCCGAACTATTACTGGCATACATGGAGATCCCAAAGGAAGCTTGGGAATTATAAATGATATCCCTGTACATTTAGGAGATGTTATTATCTCTACTGACATGGAAGTCATTGATACTCGTGCCTATACTATGGTATACCTGTCACCCAAATTCAAAATCCAAATGCTGAAATCCCAAATGCCGAAATCCCAAATCCCAAATCCCAAATTATAATTAGTATTTTTTGCCAAAATCTCAAATCCCAAATTCCAAATACTAGTAATTTGGGATTTTGGCATCTCAAATCCCAAATGATTTGGGATTTGGGCAACACGTATATACTATGGTATTAGGAAATGACTGGTTACAAAAGGCTCATGCAAAAATTGAGTATAGCTCTCCAAGATCAACTATAAATGACCATAAACGAACTGCAGTAATTGATTGCAAAAACTCTTCTGGCAATGTGTCTTCTCAAATAAAAGAGGAAGAGGAAGAAGAATCAGATGAAGATGATGATGATGATTCTTCTGATGAAGAAGATGACTTAGGACTTAATGCCTTAAGTTTAATTGTAACTGAAGATGAAAGTTCAGACAACTATTACTACTGTTTTGACCCTTGGGGAATAGAGATTGATCATGATACCTTCTCCTGGGAGGAATATCAATTTATGAATGAAAAATTTAATCCTTGGTTGAAAGACCAAAAATATCGACACGCCTATAAACATTGGTTTAAAGGACCAGATAAATCCTGTTGGTGTAATATAAAATTAATTACAAAAGAAGATGAATGTAAACAATGTGAAGAGGATTACAACAGATGGTGTACATTACAAGTAATTCCCATTCAAGATATCTGATCCAAACAAGCTAATTTGGTCATGGGAGGATCTGAAAGATTAGCTTTTAACGAACATAAAAATGATATTGAACAATTATTAGAACTATATTCTCAAATAATCACCAGAGATATTACTGAATTAGGATGAACAAGTGAAATTCAACATCATATTGATACCCAATTAGCTCAACTGATTAGACAATACCCTTATAGTTTATCACCCCGTCATAGTCAATTCTTAAAGGAAGAAATAGATCGCATGAAAAATCAAGGATTAATAGTTCCCTCCAAAAGTCCTTGGACTTCCCCTGCTTTAGTTGTAGGAAAGGCAAATGGAAAATTACGACTGGTAGTAGACTATCGGAAATTGAATAAGGTTACAAAACCTGACGCTTATCCCCTTCCAAAAATTTCTGATATGTTGGATGCTTTGGCCAACTGTGCTTATTTCTCAACCCTCGACTTGACCTCAGGATTTTGGCAAGTAACAATGGACCCTGCAGATCAAGAAAAAACTGTCTTCTGTACTAGATTTGGAACTTATGAGTTCACAGTAATACCCTTCGGTTTGATGAATGCTCCTGCAACATTTCAATGATTAATGAATAATGTCTTTTATGAAGTACTTTTCAAGTTCACCCTTGTCTATATGGATGATATTATTATATTCTCAAAAACCAGTGAAGATCATAAAATTCATTTGGAAAAGATATTT